AAAAGAAGCGATACAAATTAGTGCCAGTGCTTTTTGCCCTGGTGCACCTCCCTGCACGTGGGGTTAGTGTGGGGGAAAATGCTGTTGGTGGGGTAGGGGAGCTTTACCTGGGGGCCCTGGGGGCCTCCCAGGGCTGCAGTGGTGGCAATCCAGGTGAGTGGAGCCTGGCCAGCAGCTAGAGCATGGGTCTGGCCAGCCAGGCTCCAGTTTCAGGAGGTGCAGGCTGCTGCTATGTGTACTGCCCTGTTTTTTTTCCACAAGCTTTTTCTTGATGCCGGGATTTCCCCATGTCTAAATTTCGCTCCACACTCCGAATATGCGGAGTGGAGAATCAAGTCATGTGTGTGGGCTGCGTTTTGTGGCACCTCAAAATTCACATGTGCGCTCATGTGAATGTGGCTTAGGAGTCCTTATGGCCCTAATTCACTTGATTCTGACCTCATTCCTACATGCATTCCTTATTCAGTAGCTCTTTGTCATGCAAAAAGGAGACAATATTTATCATGTCATTTGTAACAATGTCCCTTTTATATACTATAGAATAATTGTATGAATGGGGGCTACATTGCCACGTATGTTACTATATCAAAATATAAATGAGAATGTGCAGAAAAAAGCCCTGTATTTAGCCAGAGTACAGCAATGAAATATTCACAATAATAACTGCTTTGTGGTTCTCTTTTCACATCCTTGCAACAGGATATTTAGCAGAATTCACAGTTTTGCTGGAATCTGACAGGGCCATGCTACAAGTGCTTCTGCTATGGCCTCAAACTTGCAACTCTGGGTTGTCAACCATTTATTTTAGCTCCCTCATTACCACAGCCTTACTTTATTGCTGGGGTCCATAACGTAGCTTTCAATAAGTTAATTTATATGCCAGGAGCAATCTAGCTGATATGCCAGTAGCAATCTAGCTGCAGCATAGCACAGGTTGCAAAACATGCCTGAGAAGTACAGTAAATAACCCTGTTCTGAGCTCCTTGCAGCTATGACTTGAATGCTATTGGAACCTGAAGTATCTAGTTTAAGGCTAGTTCAGGGCAGGTCTGAAGTACACTGAAGTTGCTCTTGCAGCTACAGTGTAGACACACCTTTGGATATGCAAGCAGGATAGCTGCAATGTGTTTCTAATACAGTCACCTCTCTTTATAGATCGCCTGTCACCCAATGGCATAGGGATGTGATGGGGTTCCTGAGGCACAGGGGCAGCTGTGACTTCCTATTGCTGTTTTTTTGTCTCCTCCCCACCCATTGGTGCCCCCTGGCTGGTGGCCTGGGTCACCCTATCCTAGTTACACCATTGTTGTCACTATACAACCTAAACACTTTTAGTCAAGTGTTAATAGTGGCAACTAATAAATTGGGATACCTGTGGGGAAAGCAGTGGGGGCAGGTGGCCTGACCTGTGCCCCTTGCCTGCCCCTGTACCCCTTAACCCCGGAGTGCTTGAGCCCTCCAGCACCTGGTCCCTGTTCCCTGTCCTCCTGGTTACTTGCCCCCTCTGATCCCTACCCCTCTACTGCCTGTCCTTCTTATTGCTTTGCCCCCTAATTGCAGTGTATATTTTCCCCCACGATTCTCCCCCTGAATTGTGTGGTCTCCCCAAGGTTTCCTCCCCACACTGTGTGCTCACCTCCGTGCTGCTCTCTGCATTATGGGATGCCCCAAAATTTCTTTCCCACCCTGTACTACATGGTCTTCCTTGCCCCCACCCCCAGCCCCATGCAGTCTCCTCTGTGCTTCCTCTCCACGCTACACTGTGTGGTCTCACATGTGCAACCCCTCCCCATACTGCTGCACTCCTTTGCTGCATGCCCTGTCCCCTGCTACCCTAGACCCAAACAGGGAGCAGAAAAATGGCTGCTGTGGCCCTGGCCTTTGTCCTCATAGCTGTATCAAAGACAAGGTTTTTTCCCTCCAATGTTAACTGGGAGAAAAACACTCATCTTGAATTTGAGTTAAAATACAGTATGTGATTTGAAACTACACTTGCTTTTTCTTATTACTAGAGCTGCTAAGAAATTATCCATCCAATTTTTTTTTGTGCTGGAATATTGCCCTCAAAATTAAATACACCAATGCATTTATTTCTTCCCTCCCTCTGATTGCTTATTTTCCTCAAAAAAATATATTTTTTGTTTGAAAATTTTGGGAGGAGGTTTAAAAAAGCAATTAACAAAAAAATATTGATAGCATGTTATGGTTTAAATTCAAGAGAAGGAGATGAAGATACATTCTATCTTGCACTTCTTTGTATTTAGAAAAAGATTTTTTTTTTTTACTTATCTCTATTTATATATTTTTTATCAACTTCCTTATCCCCCTCTTCATTGTTTTACTGCTGTGTAGGAAACATTGTTTTGATGAATACAATAATACTGGGTAAGAATAGCATGAAGTACAATCTATTAAACTTTTTTTTTTTATTCTTTGTATATGTTTGGCTTCCACTCACTGTGACATCTCTGGTATGTGGTCTGCTGAGTACATCATTCCCCTACTGAAGAGCTCTCAAGCACATGAGTTTCTAAAAGAAAAAGTCCTGAGGTTTCTAATGCTTTAGCAAACTTCTATTTCTAATAATCATTTTTTCACATCCCATATTTTTTTCACATCCTATACTCTTGAAATATTCATAAAAATCACTTGATCCTGTAAGAAGGGCAGGCTTGACCTGACTGTAAAGGCACAGTTTAGTTTCTAGTGGTTATTTGTGCTCAATAATAATGAAAAACATTAATGGAAGACTTACCCAGAGAACAGGGATGGATGACCCATGTTGCATCTGCTTCATGTAAAACTTTGAAAGAAAAACAGAGTTGTTTATGATAAATCAAGAAAATGATCTCTAGTTACATTCATGCTATAGAAGATGGAGATTTTGTTTCTATCCCCCAAATCAGCTGCATATATATAACTCATTTCATATTGTCCTCTTCTCCATTCTTTACATTGCCTCTCATCGTGTTTATTTCCCATATGCATGTAAAGTTTAATGTACTCATTTGTCTTCACCTCTTTCTTATGGAACTTTGTTTTCTGGCTGCCTGCTCTTTCTCCAGAAGCTCTGGGTCTGAGATTATGGTCCCTAACAAAAGACCCAGCTGGACTTTCCTTGATTTTCTTGAAGGATGTCCTTCTGGAGTGAAAGCCTGACAAAACTTGTGCTGATTTCAGTACAGCCACGGGTTCACCAATGGAGTGAGGAATATTTCGATTTTCATTAGTCCTGAAGTAGAAATAGGCAAAGTCATTGACCCTTCCATGTGGAAGAGACAGCATGGGAAAAGAAAACTTTCTAGTTTCTTCTCTTTCTTTCCCATGCACAAAGAATGAGATTTGGTCATTATTGTTTTAACACAGCATAACTTGAAGATTGTAAGGACCTTGAAAAGCCTTTATGGTCTCAATGGAATGACCATAATAATGGTGTTGAAAGAACAGTTAGTCATAATTGACTGATACACTTCTGGTAACACTACACAATTTTTTTACCAGTTTTTATGCTTTGGTCAGTGTGTGTGAGCGTGTGTGTATAGGCGCATGCATGTGTGGCCACATACATATGCAAAAACATACCCATATAAACTATTAAATATACAAAAAAAATATGCATGAAAGAAACACTAAATACCTGAAGTTTTAAGCTTGAAATTAGTATGTCTACAAAACTAATAGCTGTTCACCGGTAGACTGTGTTTATATGAGAAAATCAAGTAAATGAACATTCAAATAGGCATGTAATTACTTGATGTGCTCTAGGGTTTTCACAGTTTAATGAGTACAGCTACTAAAATTTTGCTCTATTGTTATCTGAGCTAAAACCAGAAATGTCAAATTATTCAAGATCAAGGTATTTCACTCTGCCTTTAATTTACTGTATTGTGCACAAGTTTTACAGGAGCTGTAAGCAACATATGCATGCCAGAAACAATGACTCAAAGATTAATGAAAAATCTTTATAAAACTCCAGGTTTTTTCACCTTGGGAGTTTGTCACATTATGTGTTATATATTATTGCATTGCCTAATTTAATTATATTTTTACTGGTTATTTTCCCTCTACAAATCTGTTTTTCTTCTTATTTAATACCATATTGACTTAGGTTATGTTGCCAATGAAGTCAGTAGCAAAATGCTACTTTCTTCCCCTTTAATGTGTTTGGCTTTTTTATATAGTATGCCACAGATTTTCAGCAAGCAATAAAGTTCACACAAAATTGTATGTGATATACCCATTTTGATGCCTGACAACCTGACTTCAGGTGTAATCAGATTACTATGCACCAAAGCGTATGCAAAAAACAATGCAAATAGATGCATGCTAAATATTTATGCTTAGCTTATGTGCTGATATTTCCTAGCTGTTTATACTGGAAAGGTTCATTTCCTGTTTTTGAAAAAAGTTTTTTGGAGGTTGGAGTTATCCAGTCTGGGTTCAGAAACAATATCACATGGATTGTTCAACTAATCTACACAGCATATACATAACAAATAACTTGAGCTATGGGAATCTTAGTCTATTTCAGTAAAGTCAATGACCCATTGGCTTCAGTGATCCAGGACCATATGGCAGGTGCAGAGTGTAAATTTTAAGATATATGTTATAGGCAGAGATATACTTGCACAATAATTTCACTAAATCTTTTACAACAAAAATTGTAAAAGACTAAATGGCTTAATGGAGAAAATACTTCAAGTAGAAAATGGTCAACTTCATTGAAGAAAGCATGTGCTGTTACTCATATTTCACCCAGCTCTGTTTATTTCTTATATATAAGATATTTAGATAGTAGTTCTTTAAAATATTAATAAAAAAGTGAAGGTAGTGCCAAGGATTGCAAACCTGTTCTTCTGTAAGAAATGACTTTTTCAGGTAACCTGCAATCACTGTGTTATCGATAACTTGTCAGTGAGACTGGTAACCTTATCTTTAATTCTAGCAAAGCTTTTCCCCTTTTTTATTCATATTCCTGCTTTCTGGTTTAACCCTTCTAGCAATACAAGATCAAGACAAGTTACAAGGCTTTTGCAGCAATCCCTACAAACACATTGCTTATGGAGCAGAAGGTCAGTGTTAGCTCACAAATATGTAAAATTTCTTTATATTTTCAAACACATTGTGCTTCACACAACACTTCATAATTAATACTTTCCTGACACTTCTGTTGGGAATACTTAAAAATGAAAACTCTGCATGCTGACTATTCAGAATTATACCTGCTACTATTACTCAAAGTCAAGTAGTTTCATATAAAAAACCTGAAACTTCAGTAGCTTGAATTCCTCCAAGGAAATCCCTATAAAAACATTTCTTCTAAAATAATTTGTAGATTACAACATAAGGTCTAAAATGTACCTTTGAAAGCTTCAAAGAGCCAGATTCTCATAGTTTGAAACACTGTCAAGGGTTTTATGCTGGACATTAACTATATAATAAAGACCAAATGTTTTGGTCCTTATGTGGACAAAACAACCAGGAAAACAATGATTCAGCTGGTAGAAATTTAAATTTTCAATGAAAATTAAATCTTCAAAACACCCATTGTTTTTTTCTTTCTTTTCTTTTTTTTTTGTTTGTAATTTTTTCCCCAAGTTAATTTTGCCAAGTCCAACTCCCTTTGCATTCAACGGATTCCATTGATATGAATGAAAGCTCCCATTGTATCCAATTAATTCCACTGGTTTCACTGCAAGTAGGACATCTAGCCTGCTTGGAGGCTTTTATGAATTTTATTTCACTAAGCATGGATCTGCATCCTATAGCATCTAAATAGCTTTGTAAGTCTAGCTCTTGAAAATATCAGACCCATTACATTTCAACAAGCTTTAGACTTCTAAAGCTCAGATCATAAAAGGTATTTAGTTGCCAACTTCCTCTATTTTAAATGAGTATTTAAGTGTTGAAATAGACTGAAAAGTATGAGCTTATGTGCTTTGAAAATAGCATTTGGGTACTTCTGAAATATTTGCTCCAGTCAACTGTTGTTAATTAATTGTGGACAAGTAGGCAATAATGTGTTAGCACATACAATCTAGATTTTTTTACTGAAAACATATAATACACTCATTTAAAAAAAGTCACTGAAGTTTTTGAACGAGGCTTTGATAAAATATAGGTTCATATAAAATGTTTTCCTTAAATTTGGATGAAACGTTTTTTCTTGAATATTGATTTCACATATAGAAGGGAAGAGTAATGCCATCCTAGAAAATTATTTTGGCAACACTCTAAAATTGCTATATTTATTCAGCTTTGTGGACCTTATTTCCAACACACAAAGTTAAGTGTGCAGAAAGGTGATGCCTATGATGATAAAAAAGAAGGAAGGCACTGTCTGAAATAACACCTGCATTGAGACAGGAACCTTTAGGCCAAGAAAGTCATTACACCTTTACAGGTATAAGGGATCGGAAACTGGTCTATACCCATAGCAGAACAGAAGTTCTGCATACATAGACTAGTTTAAAAATGACAGAGCATAGTCTAAGATTTCTAAGATTTGCCCCTCTGATGGCCATGGGGCAAATATGTGGTCTGTTCGCTACCAATCTAAACTACGCTGCTTACAGAAAATAAAGTAACTTGGATCAATTCTGCTTTTGACTTTTTGAATGTCTGTACCTAGCCTTAGTGATTATCCTTTCCATTAAAAATGCTAACCTTGGTATATCCTGCAATAAACAAAGAATATTTCACACAACATTGCTAGAAATATGATTTTCTATTTCAGGATTTGGCTTTATTTGAGGTTTTAAGGTCTTCTGCTCTAGTGATTTAGAATATGCAGGGTTATATTGTACGTGTAGGCCCTAACATGACGAAAAGGGGCTTGTAAACTGCCTCCAGCTAAGAATAGGCACAGGAGGCACTGTAGCTCTGACCTATCTCTGATGTTAAACTCTCTCTGCTTTCCCCTTGCCTTAGAGAGAGGATAACAATTAGGTACTGTTCTGTACTAGCGGCTAAGCAGAACACCCTCCTTCAGCTGCATTAGACCCATAAGCTCTTGGGCAACCTAACCCAGGAAATAGAAAATGTACAAAACCTAGGGCCTCCAAATCTAATATGTGGGTAGTCTACACAGGCTTTAATGCATCAGGGAACATAATTAGGGGAGGCGAGGGAGGAGGTGACCAGGGCAGCAACCCAAGACACCACCTTTGAGGGTGTTGCAAAAATAGCTCCCACCACAGTGGAGGCTGACTGTGCCATCACTATCAGCACTATGGCAGCTAGCACTGCCCTGTGTGTTGTTGATGCCCAGAGCACATACCCATCCTTTTGCACCTCTGGCAGGAAGTTTATTCACATCACAATCTAGACTAAAATTAGATATTGCTGTTTGCTACGAATTTTTACACCTATGATCTTTTAAATTTGTGAATCCAGCACTCTTATGGTAAGGGCTTCAGGAGAACAAGATTTTAATTATATAAACAGTTTCTTTATTCAAGTAAAGTAATTCAAGCAAATAATTCAAGAGAAGTACAGTTTACAGATATGTTTTTTGCAGCTGGTCTGCATTATTCTGGTCTGCATTATTCAACAAAGACATCCATTAGTCATGATAGTCTCTGCTGAGCACAGGTTGGGAATGCATTGTCTGCTTATATCAGAAGCAATAACTTGGTACACAGTTGAATCTGAAAGGCATGTTCAAAGTAAAAATAAAGTGGATCCTTGTTCCAGAGCTTGAGTAGTAATATCGAATCCTTTGAGTTGTGTTATGAAATGTGTCTGTGAGTTCCTTGAAGCCTATGATCTAGTTATTGTCCATATGAAGCAGTAGTTCATATGCTGATTTTGCTCTCTGTCTAAGCTGTTTTAGCTTTCTATTTCTAATATGTCTCCCTGTATCTAACTTTTTTTGTTTAATCAATTTACATCTTTATCTGTGTGGGGTTTGCACACATGCTTGTATGTTTTGGACAACCAGTGTTTTTTTTATGGAGCCATTATACCAAAATAGCCCTTCACTCTATGGTATTGATTTACATTTTGGGATACTTTTTTATCCTGGGTGGATCTAAGATTTTGAAAAGGGATGTGCAAATGGTGAGATTCATCATCACCAGGGATCCTGGTTTTCTCTGTTTAAAAGTCACAAATTTTCTGATTAAAAATAACAAATCCATGTTTATCCACAATTAAAATGAAACACCACTATATATATAGGTATCAGTTGAACACAATGTTTTATTGATATATTTACAATATTAAAGTCATTTGGAAGCTTACCAGTGGCTCATTCATTATAATAAAATATATTCTAAATACCTATATATTTTGGTGTTTGATTTTGTTTTTTTATTATCATGGAAAACAAGAGCCCCCCCACCCCCATCCCCCCGCTGCCTCTTTGCTCATCAGGATGCAAGACAAATGCGCCTGTTCCCCCCGCTGCTTTGTAGTTCTGAGCATCCCTGATATGCTGGTGTCCTGATATGCTGGACAGGCAGGCGGCACCTCATCTTGGTGGTCATGTCAGTGCAGTGCTCCCTCCTGTCCTGGGTCCTGCCTGCTGGGCCATGGAGGTGGCTTCTGCCTGGAGCTGATCTGGCCCAGCTGCAACCCCCTGACCCGCATCCCACTTTGGTCACAGAAATATGGGTGTGCATGTGTTCCCCTG